TACCCGAATTCTTTTATTAACCAAAGCAAGCACCGAGTGAACAGACGACGCGCAGCAAAACAGCAACCCGAAGTCTGGAGGGCTATTCCCTACATAAAAGGAGTCTCCGGAGTTGTCTCTCGTCTGTTAGAACCCGCTGAAGTAGGCATACAGTTGGACAGGGTTAATATGGATCCTTTGATTACACCTCATTGTTTTCATGCCGCCCGCATGGCGAGCTCGGTGGATAAGGGGCCTTGCACTGGTGCAAGGGGAAGGGGAGGAAATAAGGATAGGTTGTGAGCAGCTATAGTACGACGAATCTGCTCTCCTGAACCTGTCGAAGCAGAACTCATACAGCTGCCAAACACGCTTCTTGAAAACGGATACTCAGATAGGTTTCTCCTCAAGAATACTAGTGAACGCACCAAAAAATCCTTTTGCCTTTACCGTAGAAAAGACCTGTTTCTAAGACTGCCTTTCTTAGACGATGTTGCAAGTGAGCTGATAAGGCGACTTCTGAAGACTGTGATCATAAGCGTTTTCCCGCGGCGAACTTACACGTGTTCTACGATTGGGTGGTGAGGAGCAACCCCCGCTGGAGGCCACATCTATGTGCATCCACTCTTTTATTTGCTCCTGTGCAGCAGGATATATTGGCCAAACAGCGAAGTGCCTGGAAAAGAGAGGATGTGAACACGCACCGGTCTGGATAGGTAGAGACGAAACTATATCGACCTCAAATTCTATTCTCGCACACCTTGTCGATATGAATCACCGAGTCGGTAGTAATGAAGCCTTTTAGGTTGTCTACCGTACACCAGTCAACTTCTTCAAGCGCCTATGTCAACGGATGCTAGCAGCAGCCAAGGCAGGGGCTATACGGCTAGCGAATTCAGCGCTGTGCTCTCACATGCTCTTTCACTTCCGTGGTCGACGCCGACGCCAGGTGGCGATCGCATGTCGCCTCCCTCCCATTCCCTAGTGGTAGTCGTTCGCTCCGTACAAGCAGCAGTAATTATCACTCCACGACCCACGACCAACGCTCACAACCCATCCTTATTTCGTCTCCTCTCGCCCTTCCCCAGCACAAGGACTTCTACGCGCCGAGCTCGCCATGCGGGCGGCATGAAAACGATGAGTTGTAATCAAAAGACCCTTATTAACCCCATCCAACTGTATGATTTACATCATCCCGGCAATTTTACTGGCCTAATAATGAATTGTTGAAGACAGGTTTGCCAAATAAACTTGCCAAATTAAACATGGGAATATTTGCAGAACATAACAATGAGTTAACTCCGCACAGTAGATCGCAGTATGCTGGACAGTCGCCATTACTTGCAACACATCGACTTAAATTTGCCTATGAACTGTCTTTCATATTTATGTTAGTATTAAATCACTGGTAAGAAGCCTATTTCGTGAAATGCTCGCATGCCCGAAACTCTTAAAAGTTTTATCAAATTACTGTTATTCAATGGGTTTTTCAAAATCTTGGTTGTTACTTGGAGTTTCATGAGGTGAAATTTGAGTTGAACTAATCATAAACTATGTTCTTTTGCACAAAAAAGGAGTTCGTAGGCTGCTAAGCTAAAGAGCAACTGCGTTCCTTAAAAACAGCACACGCAATTAGACTGGTGGTTAAGAGTGTTTTTCTAAAAATAAACAAATAACGGAGGTTTCAATTGGTCAGAAACGGACCCGGTATGGATACAGTACTTCAGCGATAAAGCATGAAATGACTACAAACAACATTTTTGCCGGATAATCTACACAGGACAGTCCGGCCTGCTGTGTCAGATACAGCAGGAAGATAGTGCAATGTGCTTCTGAACGTTTTGCCAACTCCGTGTTTTTACAATATTGTTTGTCAAGTTATGCACATCACACAGTTTACTATTAAGAAATTACGCAGTTTCCTTTTTCAATAAAAACCGCGTGAAAACAGCTAATAACATCGTTTACGGTATCCTTATGTTGTAATTTGTGCTTGTGGTTTCTATCACATAAGGCCTTTCCCTAGCAACACTTCTTTGGTGCATGTGTTCTCTTTGCCAAAATCTGCCCAGCCTTTCGCTGCAGTGAACATTTGTTGTATACAAAACGCAGCATCATTTGAAAATTTACCTACAGTCACTGTTCACTTAATGACCTACTTGTACGCATTAGAGATCCGGATATCTTGTGACAACGACCATGAAATTAGTAAAACCATCCAGCATGAACAAAGGGAATAGATGTACATGGTTATTGCAATTAAGCTTTACATCCACTGTGAGCCCTCGGTAAACGAATTGGATAGCTGAAAACAGGAAAAGATTCAAAATGTAATGGAAAGCACGTAAGGTACTCTGGCTAAGTCCTTTGGTGTTAGTGTGAAAGGATTATAGTTCATGATGGGTTAAAGCGCCTTTACCAGGCGGATCGGAAACCAACCGCTTTAAAGTTAAAAGTTATGTGAACAGTATCAAAAATAGTAATTTAGATACGTTTCTCCCATTGTCTAGACTCTTTGGCATCGAACCTGTTCGATGGTTATTAGAACCTATAAAAGAGATCCAATACGCTTTTTCAGCAACAAGCGGGCGTATAGAAATGCTTTCTAGATACGTTTAAAAAAGGATTTTCTGCAAGCTGCAATCCAC